CCGTCTTTGGCTGCAAAGAATATAATCAATCTGAATTCAGTATTGACCATCTGGTAATGTCCATGTGTAGAGTTGTCTCTTGTATTGTTGGAAAAGGGTGTTTGCTATGACCAGTCCCAAACCTCTTAATGATAATAAACTTTTAAAAAAAAATTGTTTATTTGGCTGTGTAAGGGTCTTGGTTGCAGCATTGAGATCTTCCATTGCAGCATGAGGGCTTCTCTCCAGTTGCGGCCCCCGAGCTCCAGGACAAGCAGGCTCCGGGTGGGGCCCTGAGGCATGTGGGATCTTGGTTTCTGGATGAGGGATTGAACCTGAGTCTCCTGCATTGGAAGGCAGATTCTTAACCACTGGACCAACAGAGAAGTCCTGACAATAAGTCTTGACAGTTGCATACAACTCATTATTTCAGCAACATCCTGCAAACCTCCTGGTAAGTGGACTCTAAATTCTAAGGTCTGGGTCATGTTCCTATGGGATATATTCCCAGCAACTGGTTCAATGCCTGACACACAGTTGACAATCAATAAATATGTGAATGAATAGGTGAGTGAATGAATGGCAGATTCTCAGGGCACTTGCAGGGTGACAGCTGCTAATTCTACAGCTCATTTCCCTAGCACTTGACTTGGGCCTCCATCCATCCTAATTTTTCTGAGGGTCCTTTGGCCGCTGAAGGGAATCCAGACCTTACTGTGCTACATTTGTAGCCCTTTTTATCTCTTCACAGGTGCCCCTCCAGCAATTCTTCCCTCAGCTCTCCTTCCCCTCTGGGACATTGCAGCTCCATGTTGGGTCATGCAGTCTTGGGCCAGTCACTTTCCTTCTCTGAGTTTCAATTTTCTTGTCTATAAAACAGAATATAATAGCATCCAGGGTCATTGTGTTGATGGAGTTAGACCAAGCGTGTCAAAGTGCTTTGCAGGGTTCCTGGCACATGGTGAGGGCTTGAATGCCAGGAGCTATTAATGCTGTGTTGTGCAGACTGGTGTGGGGGCAAGACTGCTTTGGAGGAGAGCAGTGGTCTCCAACTGGGGGTTAACGAACAAAGCAATAAAACTGAATGTAATTCATCTCTCCAAGTGTGCTGCCTAAATTCTGGTCTTCCAAAGGGAGCCAGGAACATTCATCATCAGCTTTTAGGAAACTGACTTGCAGATACTTGCCTAACGAGGCAAAGATTGATGTACATTATTAACAGTAATCCACATTTGTCAAGTGCTTGCATGGGGCCAGGCACTGTCCTCAGGGCTTTACATGAATTATCTTGAGGAATCACTGAAAGAACCCTGGGAGGCAAGCGCTCTTATTATCCCACTTGACAGATGGAGAAAGAGGCAGAGAGGTTAAGTGACTTGCCGTAAGGTCACAGAACTGGGATGACATCCAGCAGAGGTAACATCTTTAAAATACATCCACCTGGTGCTCCCCTGGTGTCTCAGTGGTGAAGAATCTGCCTACCAATGCAGACGACGCGGGCTAGACACCTGATCTGGGAAGAGCCCGCTGGCCTCGGAGCAGCTAAGCCAATGCACCACAACTATCAAGCCTGTGCTCTAGAGCCTGGCAGCTGCAACTATTAGCCCAGGTGCTGCAAAAGAGGGGCCACTTCCAAAAGTGGAGGCCCCGCTCACCCTGGAGCCCATGCTCTGCAAGAGGGGCCACTGCAATGAGAAACCCTCACACTGCAACTACAAAGTAGTCCCTGCTCGCCTCAACTAGAGAAAAGCTCCCGCAGCAATGAAGACCCAGCACAGCCAAAAATAAATAAAATTATAGATACATACATGTATATTTTTCCAATTCTTTCCCGTTATAGGTTAGTACAAGATATTGAATACAGTTCCCTCTACTATATAGTAAATTCTTTTACTATATATTTTACACATATATAAATAGGGATGTGTTTATCTATTTTATACATAGGGATGTGTATCTTTTAATCCTACACTCCTAATGTAGCCCTCCCCCTCCTCTCCCCTTTTCTAAGTTTGTCTTCTATGTTTGTGAGTCTGTTTTTGTTTTGTAAATAAATTCATTTGGATTATTTTTCAATTGCACATTTAAGTGATATCATATAATAACTATCTTTCTGTGCCTGACAGTGAATATTCTAAAATATTCTGCGTATTACCTCTGTATGGAAATCCTTTCCAGTCTTGTGTGGCACGGGGAAAAATTGGAGCCCACCAACAGAGGGATGCTACATATTATGTCCACCAGAGGGCACGCATGCACGCCTCTGCAGTGGAATACTATGCGGTCAGGAGAAGATAGGAGGCAGGTGGTGTGTATGTTCTGGCATGAAATGATGGCCACAGTAGCCTGTCAATAGAAAAAGTTACAGAATAGTATTATCATATCATCTATTAATATTCATGTATAAAAACAAAATTTAGAAGTCCATTTATTGTTTGTAGGTTCATGGATGTCTGGAAAGATTAACATCAAAAAGTCACACTAACCTCTGGGAAACTGGGAAGGAGGGGAGCTTACACTTTTTTCTTTATATTCCCTGCTGTTTTAATCGCTGACCATTCATCTGTATTATCTTGTAACTCACAGAAAGATGAAGAAAGTAAGTGCACAGTGGACCAGGGGTTTGAGGATCCACGTCCACCCCTCCAGCTCTTCTGCTCCAGAAGCTGATTCTTCTCTGAGGCCTCCCTGGTGTCTTCTGCTCGTCCCTGGAGGCCTCTTAACCCTACCTTCCCTCCACAGTCACTTCCCAAGGCCTCTCTGGTCTTAAAGGACTTGCTTGGCCTGAGTCTCTCATCTGGGTCCAGGCACTGGTGTGGTTTTTTTCCCCAGTTAGGAGGCCAAGGTCCTACGCCTGTGCTACTCCTCAGGGGGATGTGGGACATGGTGACCTCACAATTAAGCCAGTGACATCACAGTGGGCCTGGAGGCTGACAACGCTAAGGACCTGGCAGGGCCCAAGAGATAGGAACAAGGAAGAGATCGGCAGGTAGAGGCTATTTCTGATGGAAACTTGAAGGACTGTGTCCTCCTCCCAGGACACTCCTAGCCAGTCCTTTCAGGGGTGGGAGACCTGAAAGTCTCCACAGGCATTTTGGCTCCTAACCAAGAGGTTGTACAGACCATTCTGTGAGTTGGGAGCAGAGTGTGATGCCAGGAGGAGGTAGTGGAGTTGGCAGATGGAAGACAAACGTGTATGTGAATCCTCCTGGGAGATGGGGCGGCACTCCCGTGGGTGCTCAGTGAACTTCTTGCTCCCCTTGATTGCAGCACAGCTGGAGGGGAGGCAGGCTGTGACCTGGGAGGCAGGCTGTGACCTGGGAGGCCGGGAGAGCTGTGGCCTTTGGCGGGAGTAGAGTTCTGGTCAACCAAGAGGGCAAAGAGCACCTTGGGAAGGACTCCTTTCAGCTAATCTGAAGGATGCGAGAGGGCAACTGGGATGGGGTGGGGGGAGGGGAGGATGGGGGGGATGATCTGGGCCCTGGGAATGGCACATTTGAAAAGAGCATGAGGGACAGGAATGAAGCAGTGGGGGTGGGCTGATACTGCCGAGAGACAGTGGAATCTGAGGGCTGGGACTAGACAGCACTTAGCTATTTGCTCTATGTCTCTGAGTGAGTCGCTTACTCTCTCTGAGCTTCGGTTCCTTCATCATGGGGATAATAAAAGACAAAAAGAGAACATTTATGAAGCCCCTAGCTTCGTAATACGTGCCAATATTTTGGCCACCTGATGCAAGGAGCCGACTCACTGGAAAAAACCCTGATGCTAGGAAAGATTGAGCGCCAGAATAGAACGGGCAGCAGAGGATGAGATGGTTAGATAACATCACTGACTCATTGAACATGAGTTTGAGCAAACTCTGGGAGACAGTGAAGCCTGGCGTGTTGCAGTCCATGGGGTCGCAAAGAGTCAGACGCGACTTAGCAACTGAACAACGACAAGCACAGTGGCAGGCATATAGTAAGCTGTTTGTAAAGGTAGCTGTCTACTCTAATCCTTGAAATAGTCCAACCTGAGCCTGATGCTTCATCTATTCTGGGCATGTAGAGTGCAGAATTCATGGTTGTATGCTATAGAAACCATTTCTGGAGGATTTAAGGAGAGGAGGAAATTCCTTGGTGGTCCAGTGGTTAGGACTCTGTGCTTTCAATGCCGAGGGCCCAGGTTTTCACAGTTCAGCAAAGAAACAACAACAACAGAGAGAGAAGAAACTCACTTAAAAGATGTTGGAGGAGTGCAGAGAAGTTCTGGGAAGGCTGCAGAGCCAGGCTTGGAGAACAGGCTGGATCAAGAGCGGCTGGACAGCCCAGAGAGGACTGTGAGACCTGCCTGAACCCCCTTCTTTGAAACTCTGCTCTCCTGGAAGCTGACGTAGCACCATCCACAGAGTGGGCTCCCTCAACCTGCCGCCTCGGGACCACCGGCTTCTGATCACAGTCTGGATGGGTACATGTGGTCAGTCTGGTCCATGGCACGTGCCTGCACCATGTGTTGGGGCGGGGAGGTCGAAATTCAGCCTGTTGCCTTTCCGGCTTTTATAGTGGAATGTGCCTTCTGTCTCCTTCCAGCCTCTAGTGAGAGAAAATTCCAGGTGCTGGGCATCCAAAACACCTGGGAAATGTCTACATGGGAAATGAGAATAAGTAGAGAGTGGCCCCTGTCCTTGAGATACAGACATGTAGGGGTCAGTTATGCGGGTAAACGATGGTGACAGGAAGTGGTGGGGGCCATAGTGCAAGTGAGTATCAGCCAGGGGTCAAGCCGGCAGAATAACACATCCCTTGCTCACATGGAGTTTGAGACATCCCTGTGCATTCCACGACACCTGGTGGCGTGGCCGGATGGAGCCTGAGGCTTGGGCTGCCGCGTTGGGCCAGACGCTGCGGACACACCAACCGGGGGCAGAATTTGTGTGAGGGTGGGGGAGATGAACCTTCCTCAGCTCTCGGCAATGATGAAGCTGCTCAGCTGGAAAAGCTGTTTCTGGCCTAAGGGGCCTCCCTTTTCGATATCTGGTCATGCTTCATGGGCATTTTGCCATGTCTCTGACTTTTCTCTCACCCAGTGGGGGACTCAGCATTCTATCTACATTGGAGAAAAGGTTCCCAGGACAGAGAAATCAGAGATGGGATGAGGAGGAGGAAGACGTACTTGCTCCCTCTGGTGCCTTTGCTGTGCGAGATCAGATTCCTGCTCACCCCGCTGCCTCTCTCTGTTTCCTCCTACGCTGCCTGCTTTTGTCTCTCCCTGTTCCTGTCCGTGCCACTCCCGTTTCTGTCTTCCCTGCCAACCACCCGTCCCTGTCTCAGCTGAGCCTCCTTCCCCAAAGGACCCCAGCTCCAGCCTCTGAGCCCTGCTCCGTCCCCCTCCTGCTCAGCCATCGGGGTTCCCTGAGAGCCACAGCTAAGGCTCCTCCCCACTCCATCATCCCCCACACTGAAATTCCGGTAGCCCCAGTTTCCTGTGGCCCCCAACTCCTACAGTGTGGCCTCAGGTAGGCAAAGGCTGGTGGGCGGCTCGCCGGTGTCTCAGGTCCCACAGGGCCCCCTGCCTGCCTGCCAGCCCCCCTCTTCCTATTTGTGGCAACTTCAAATGTAGCGCTTTCCTGTCACCTCTCACACCCACGGGGGCCTCAGACACAGGCAGAGAGGCTGGCTGCCCGCCTGCCCAGCGGCTTCCTTCCCCAGCCAGAGAGGACTTCTGCAGAGCCAGGTGAAGAGCCTCGCACGGAGCCGCGCCTCCTCCTGGGGTGTTTGGAGACCTGCGGCAGGGTGGGGAGGAGTCAGGGCAGAGGGAGAAGAGACGGGTTTCAGAGGACTGAGACACCCACATAAGGCTGCCAGGCTCTGAGGGCCGCTGGGGTTACAGAGGGAAGAGGGCGAAGGGAGGAGAAGGAGGGGAGCCCTGGAACTGTGCGACCCTCAGTGAAGTGACCAGCGGAGAAGTGAGCTGCTGACTGAGCAGACAGCTGTCACTACGCAGCTTCCTGTTAAGCCAGTCAGGACCGGGGGAACCCCAAGCCCACTTGCTCAGACCAGCCCGGCTGAGGAAGCTGAGCCTGGGAAGTCTGGGTGGCAGGACCCTGGGGCTCCCTCAGCTGCCCCCCAAAGCTGGTAGGTGAGCTAGGATGTAGGTGGGGAGCCTGTGGTTGATAGAGTCGTGGAGACATCAGCCCCTCGCAGCAAAGAAGACACTAGACTCTCAGTTCCCTGTGGCCCCCGAGGAGGTCTGGAATGTTTTCCTCAGATCTCTGAGCTCACTTGGAAGTATCTCCATGAGGACCTCTCTCCCTCCTGTCTTCCCCAGGGATGGGGATCAGGCCAGTTCTACGCTTCGCCTCTGACTGGCCAGCCTCCATCCAGTTGTTGCTCAGAAGTTGCTTCTTCCTGTCCCTACTTGAGAGCGTCATTGGCTTCTAAATGTCAGTGCTGAGAGAGTCCTTTCACATCAGCCACTCCAACCTTCCCATTTTGCAGATAAAGAAACTGAGGCCAGGAGAGGCAGTGACTGGCTCAAGGTCACACAGTGATTTCCTGGGAGAGCCGGCCCTGGAAGTCAGGCTCCTATTTGGAGGACCTTCACTGCTCACCTGTGACTGACCTGTCTTCCCAGCAGGTGGCAGGGGCATGAAGGGGGAGCCTGCTCCAGAGCTGGGTTGTTGCCACAAGACCAAGCCCCTGGGGAGCACAGGGGATTCTTTGTCCCCCCACCTGGACTCCCAGCTCTGCAAAGATGGCCAGGTAAGGTGAGGTTCCGGTCCTATCTCTGAGCCCAGGATGCTTCTGGAGGGAGGGGAGGTTAGGAAGTGGGGTGGGGGGTGGATCTGAAGGGACCTGGATTCTCCTGGTCCTGAGCACCTCTACCCCAGCACCTCACAAGAACATGCCCTCAGAGGTGCCAGAGACCCGCTCCCATGCCCCAGGGCCAGACTGTCTGTGGGACATGAGAAGGGACAGGCCATGCAGAGCTGAGTGCCATGGGGGCCTGGGCCTTAGAGCAGGCTCAGGGTCCTCCTGTGGGGTACACAGTCTTTCATGAGGGGTTTTTCTCTTAAGTTCACCTTGGATCCATTGAGAACATGGTAGATAGTCTGAGACAGAGTGGGATGAGGGTGGTGAGGAAGGATGGGTGGGAAGGAAGAACAGGGCTGGGTGGGGGGTTCTGGGGCAGGGGTAGGGCAACCCTGGGGGTGGACGTGTAAGTTCCTTGGAAAGGAAATGTGGATGAGGGAAGGGGAAGCCCTCTGAGGGATGGACATGGCAGAGGTGAGTGTATGTGTGTGTGTGGGGGGGGGGGCGGTCTTAGCTTCTCCTTCCCCTTTGGAAATCAAACTAGTGGTGGGACCATCTCAGGGGACTTCCGGTTCCCACCCCCCAAGCCCCTTCCCTCTGCCTACCAGGTCTTCCCAGCCTTCAAGCCACATCCAGACACAGTGGATCCTCATGGCCAGTCCTGGGCCAGCTGGCTCTGCCCATGGCCGCTGGCACCAGCCAAGTCTGCCCTGCTGGCCTGCCCCCAGGGCCTGGACCTATACCTGTGCGCCCTGCAGTCGACAACCCCAGCAGCAGCCCCGCGGGGTCTCAGAGAGGATGCTTTGAGCACACGTAAGCCCAGGGCGCAGGGCCGCACCTGGGGGAGGTGGGAGGTGGGGGGAGTATTGTTAGGTTTGAGGAGGAGAGACGGAGCAGACCCAGGGTCCCAGGTGAGGACGGAGCCTCAAGTATATGCTACTTCCACATTTTGATCTGGAGCTCTGGCCTGGGCACGTGTAGAACTCTCAGGTGGTGACATCTGAGCAGAGGAGGTGGGCAGTGGTTTTTCTCAGGCATGGGTGTGGGATCTGGTGGAGGTGTAGCCACAGTTCCAGGAGTTGAGGGTGGGTGCTCTGTCTGCCTAGAACACTTGAGCTAGAGGGGCCTGTGTTATCAGGCAGGAAGCTTGCTTGGGAGGCAGGGAGTCAGGGGGTGGTTCTGCCCCTTCTAGCTCTGACCTCGAGCACATCACAGAAGCCAGTTTCTGCTTTCACAAAAGGACCCTCTCACTATACCTCCATGATTACTGCCTACAGTACACCATTTCCTTATGCAACTCAACCTGGAGGTCAGGGACCATGTTGCTGTGTCCAGCACAGAGTAACACAGCCCAGTAAAGCTGGTTGACTCAATCAGTGAGGATCCAAGCAGACAATCTACTTTTGAATATTGATACACATTTAGTATTTTACTTGATCTCACTCCTAGTTTAACTCCTACCTCACTGGCTGTTGCACCTCACTCTCCCTTGTTAGCGCTCCTTGACTTACCCTCCTGAGTCTTCCCATGCTCAAGAATTCCGTCCAGGGCTGCCTCCTTGTCCCTCCCCTCATCCCTTCTCCTTCTCCTCCTCTCCTCTCTCCCATTCTTCCCCTCTTCTCTCCTGTTCTCTTTAGCAGTTTGTTGAAACTTCCTGTAATACTAGAAAGGTTCTGCACTTGTGCTATCTGACACCTGAGCCTTTTAAATGTGGCTAGTACAAATGAGAAGCTGGGTTTTTTTTTTGTTTGTTTTTGTACTTAAAGGTGTACGGTGGCTACCGTTTTGGACACAGCAGATCTAGGACCATCCTTTATGTGATCTCATTTGGGCCCGTGGCACCCAAATTTTTGTCTCCAGCTCAGGCTGCTCCTTTAATGTCTAAACCAATTCATCCAACTGGCCTTCTGACTTCTCTACCTGCATGTCTAATAGGCTTCTTGAATTATTTTCACTCCCTGAAATGATTACACACTTTACAAATGCCAGCCTCTTTATCAGCAAGGGCGATGGCAGACCAGGAAAGCCCAGAGAAAGGAGATGCCATGCAGGCTACAGTCCTCTCTCAGGTCGGAGCCAGGCAGCTTAGGTGCAGAGCTGACCTTGACCCCAGGCTGGGTGGCCCTCACCATCTTCCTTTTTCTGCTCAGGGCACCTGCCACCAAGGCCGCCTGCCAGCTCCTCCAGTGGCGAGAAACTCCCAGCCAAGTGTCCTCCGAGCAGGGACAAGATGGGAAGCCAGACAGAAAGAGCTGGCAAGGGGTCCCCCTGCCCATCCTTCTCTCCTCCCAACAGTTCTTCCCTAAATTCTTGGCAAAATAAGAAGAGCCCCTTGGCTTTCTGCTCCTGCCCCACACCCCCACCCAACTCCAAAGAACTCTCCTCCCATTTCTGCCCATTCTACCCTGCCTACCCATTTTTCCTGCCCCCTCCTTACCTGGTCACGTGGGGGGGCCTACCTTCAGTGCAGTGTCCCCCCCTCTTCAAGCTGCCCCAAGACACCCCCTATGCCACCATGGCTGTGCCCAGCTTGCTGATTAACGTCAATGAGCCTGAGCACCCCAGCACCTGGGCAGAGACCCTGCGCCCCTACCCAGGGGCCTGTCAAGACTCCGGCCAAACCCAACCCTCCCAGAGTCAGAATCCGGGCCCTGCCACTGCCCGGACCTACTCCACGGGACCGGAGCGGGCTGGCAGGGCGGCTGCAGGAAAGCGGGCCCCGCTGGGCTCCCAGGCTGGCTCTGCAGCACTGCCTTACCCGCTGAAGAAAGAGAACGGCAGAATCCTGTACGAGTGCAACGTGTGCAGTAAGAGCTTCGGGCAGCTCTCCAACCTCAAGGTATCTGCCTCCAGGCCCCCAGGTTTCCCACTGGGCATCCTTCGATGACCCCTTCCCGTCCTGCTTCTAGAATCAAGGACCTGGGGCAGAGGGAACTCCAGGGCAACCTCTAGGGCCTGTGACCTTGGCTGGTTCATTTCTCAGTTTCACTGTAGAGAGGAGTCCTCTCCACACCAAAGATTGTCCATGAGATCGTCTCATTTCAGCTAAAAATAGAGAAACCGAGGAAAGATGTTTCCAAGGTTACCTTGATTTAAGGGTGCAGCCAGGTCTCCATCTGAGTCTCTCAATATCTAGGGCAAAGTTCTTTCTTGAAGAGTCATGCTCTCTGATTCCCTGGCAATCTTCCTCTTGTTTATTTATTTAAAGGTCAGGTCGGGGAACAGGTGAATTTTAGTGAATCTAGACCTGACAACCAGCCTTTTTCAATTGGGATCCAACACAACAGCAGTGTGCTGTAGACGTCATTATAGGCATCTTCCAGAAGGGGGAGACCATGGACGTATCTCTCTATGGGCCAAGATCTGACGTTAGGGGCAAGTTGGCACCTGCTGAAATAGAGGAAAATTTACTGATTGTTGGAGAACAGATCTTCTGCATCCTCTCGGGCATGAGTTCTTAAATGTTAATGAGCCTCAAACCACCTGGAGAGCTGGCCCCAGCCCTCGGCCTGCCCTAAGCCCCAGCCCCAGAGATTTCTGTTCAGCTGCTCTGCGGGTGGGGCCTGAGAGTCTGCCTTTCTAACACCCTCCCAGGTGATGCTGATGCTTCTGGTCTGTGGACCACACTTTGAGAAGCACTGCACAAGATATATATCTAAGGGGGTACACATGGGATACCCCTTACCTGGCCTGTTGACCTTGGCCACCTCCATCTTCCCTCCAGCAGGGCAGCAGAGAGCGCGAGGGGAGCCTGGGGAATGGTAGATTGGCCTTCAGGGAGATGATACAGAGGCAGGGGGATTGAAAGGCCTTGATGCCAAAAAGGGGTCCTGCGGGGATGAGGGTAGAGATTTGAAGAGGATCCCTGGCCCTGATGGGGGGTCTGGGCGGTTGACAGCATTTCTCCCACACCTGGCTCAGGTCCATCTGCGTGTGCACAGCGGGGAACGCCCGTTCCAGTGCGCCCTGTGCCAGAAGAGTTTCACCCAGCTTGCCCACCTGCAGAAGCACCACCTGGTGCATACTGGGGAGCGGCCCCACGAGTGCCCGGTGAGACCCTCCGCCCCTTCCCCTGTCCTCCTGCAGGCTGGGGAGGAGTGCTAGGCCCCTGGGGGATGGCACCTGTGGCCTCCATTCCTCCACCGTCCTGAGAAAATGGAGCTGGGCAGGAGGCAAGGGTTGGGGGGAGGGAGGGGAACGGAAGGGCCAGGGTGCGCTATTGGAGGACACTCCCTGGGCCTGGAGGGGAGAATAGAGATGTATGTCTGGGAGTGGAAAAGAATGAAGTTGGAGGTCCTGGGGAGCGGACACCCCTTGGCGACTTCCCAGCATAGTCGGAGGAGTTAATGCTAGTGTGTGTGCAAAGTCTATGAACACTAGTGGTAACATCAGCTCAGTGTTAGCTCCCTCCCTCTTTGAGCTTCACCATGTCTCCAGGGAGTTCGGAAGGGCCAGAAGCATTTCCCTATTTTACAGAGGCAGAAACGAAAGCAGCATAATGGTGACAGTCTAGGCTACCTGGGTTCAAATCTTAGCCCTGCCTCCAATTTGCTATGTGAGCTTTGGCTACTGGCCTCACTCCTCTAAGCCTCTGCGTGTTCCCTGTTAATATAGAAGTAGTGCTTAGTCCCGATTCTCCAGTCCTGGAGAAGACTACATAAGACCAACTCCTGGCACGCGGCTGCTGCTGCTGCTAAATCGCTTCAGTCATGTCCGACTCTGTGCAATCCCATAGACGGCAGCCCACCAGACTTTGCCGTCCATGGGATTTTCCAGGCAAGAGTACTGGAGTGGGGTGCCATTGCCTTCTCCGTGGCATGCGGCAGCTCCCAGTAAATGTTAATTACGTGCACCGAAGCCGCAGCCCCACGCTTAAGGGTTCTGTGTGATTATCTCATTCAGTCCTCCATGCCTACGAGCTTAGGTATTAATAGTCTCATGTCAGCCATCAAGAGAGCAAGGCTCAGAGTACAAGGTCATGTCTCTTGCACAAGGTCATGCAGGGAGTAGAAGAACCAGGGTACTGACCCAGTCTGCCTGGCTCCAGTGTGCCAGATACCGTGGTCCCAGGGAGGAATCATGGGGGAAACTTCCAGGCCTGCATCACAGGGAGGTGGTGGTGGGGGGTGGGGTGGTTTCAAGATGGGGAGGGGGGAGCAGAGATCCTGGGTGAACCAGGCAGGCAGAGCTAATACCAGTGCCCATTCCCATCAGATGTGTCACAAGCGCTTCAGCAGCTCCAGCAACCTCAAGACCCACCTGCGCCTGCACTCGGGGGCACGGCCTTTCCAGTGCAGTGTCTGCCCAAGTCGCTTCACCCAGCTCGTTCATCTGAAGCTGCACCTTCGTCTGCATGCCCCACGGCCCTGTGGTCTGGCTCACACCCACCTGCCCCTGGCATCTCTCACCTACCTTGCCCGCTGGCACCAGGGGGCCCTAGATCTTCTGGCAGTGCCATCAGAGAGGCAGATGGACTGGGACGTGGACAAGGTCAAGGTGTCCTCGGCATCCTGGGGCCAGTAAGGGCCTAAGCCAGGGTGCTAGGTCTGCCCTGGGGAGGGGGCAGGGGCAGAGCAATGAAAGGATTTTCTCTACAATGAATTGAGGCCTCCTGAGCTTCAATAGTGCAGGGGGAGGTCAGAGTGTATTTGTCAGACTTCACGTCCCACTCCACCTGGCAGGTCATGGGACACAGCCAGGAAGAGACTATGCTGCCCACTGTGTGTGTGTGTGTGTGTGTGTGTGTGTGTGTGTGTGTGTGTGTGTGTGTGTTGGGGGGTGCCTGCAGCCATCTACCTCTGGCTGGGTTTGAGTTCCACTCTCTGGGACCTATCTGGGATCAGGCCCTCCATCTCAGCTCACCGATGGACAGTTCAGCCTTCCAGGTCTCTGCAGGGTGCAGACTGGTGCTGTGGTGCTGAGCACAGGGCACTCTTTTCTGAACCAGCACCTGCCCAGATGTCTGACTGCTGCCTCCCACAACCTCCTTGTCTCTCAGTTCCTAGAGGCCACTGTGCCCCCTCAGCTGGTACTCCCTGCCATGGTTGGATGGGACACATTCATCTCCCTCTGTACATGCCAGGATCTGAGCCTCCTGTGGGAGAGGCAGGAATACAGGGATGTCAGGGTCCACTCATGACCCAGAAGCAAGATGTCCCCCTCTGTGTCAAGGACTAGTCATCCCAGAGGACAAAGAGCTAAGGGGGTACCAAGCTTGGGGAAGGGGTAGAGGCCCTACAAGGACTAGAGGTAGGGAAGAACTGGCAGAGAGAACCTGGGAACTAGGGCCCTCCTGACGGTCTTTCTCCCTGGAGTCCCAGAGGACCCCCTCAAGTGTGTGAAGTGTGCCCTCCCCCCGAGAGAGTGGTGGCATTAGATGGGAAAGAGTACTGCCCTTTGGGGTATAGGAAGCCCAGGTTATAATCACAACAGTAGCTATTATTAAGTAATAATTTGTTGTTGTTCAATCACTAAGTCAAGTCTGACTCTTTGCAACCCCATGGACTGCAGTACACCAAGCTTCCTTGTCCTTCACTGTCTCCTGGAGTTTGCTCATATTCATGTCCATTAAGTCAGTGATGCTATCTAACCATCTCATCCTCTGTCGTCCCTTTCTCCTCTTGCCCTCAGTCTTTCCCAGCATTAGGGTTTTTTCCCCAATGAGTCGGCTATTTGTATCAGGTGATCAAAGTATTGGAGCTTCAGCTTCAGCATCAGTCCTTCCAGTGAATATTCAAGGTTAATTTCCTATAGGATTGACTGGTTTGATTTCCCAGTCCAAGGGACTCTCAAGAGTCTTCTCCAGCACCACAATTCAAAAGCATCAATTCTTTGGTGCTCAGCCTGCTTTATAGTCTCTCATATCCTACATGACTACTGGAAAAACCATAGCTTTGATTATATAGAACTTTATCAGCAAAGTGATGTCTCTGCTTTTTAACATGCTTTCTAGGTTTGTCATAGGTTTCCTTCCAAGGAGCTAGCATCTTTTAATTTCATGACCGCAGTCACCATCAGCAATGATTTTGCGTGCATGCATGCTAAGTCTCTTCAGTCTTGTCCAACTCTTTGCGACTTATGGACTGTAGCCTGCCAGGTTCCTCTGTCCATGGGATTCTCCAGGCAAGAATACTGGAGTGGGTTGCCATTTCTTCCTCCAGGGGATCTTCCCAACCCAAGGATCTTATTTCTCCTGCATTGACAGGCGGGTTCTTTACCCCTAGCGCCACCTAGGAAGCCCAACAGTGATTTTGGAACCCACGAAAGAAAATGTGTCACTGCTTCCACTTTTTCCCCTTCTGTTTGCCATGAAATCATGCCATGAAGATCATGGATGCCATATTAGTTTTTTGAATGTTATGTTCTAAGCCAGTTTTTAAATTATTAAATAATTATTATTGGGCTTGCAATGTGGGAGACCCAGGTTCGATCCCCGGGTCGGGAAGATTCCCTGAAGAAGGGAATGGCAAATCACTCCAGGATTCTTGCCTGGAAAACTCCATGGACAGAGGAGCCTGGCAGTCTACGGTCATAAATATTAATAGCTGGCCAACTTCCAGCAGGGGGCATACCTGTGGGTTTCAGATTGGCTTCCCCACTAGGGTACAGGACGAGATTTTCGCTGTGCCCTAGGGTCTGCAGGACCGAGAGAGAGCTCACTCTCATTGGGCAGTCTCACCAGCAGGGCGAGGGCAGGGTTGGCTTCGGTCCCCACCAATAATCACGGACTAGGTTCCAAACCCACTGGATCAACCGTTTGGCCCCGCCCAACAAGCCAACCACTCAGGCTAGGCAACCCTAAGACCACGCCCATTACCGCCTCTGGCTCCGCCCTTGCATTCTAGCCCCTCCTCCGGGGCGGGGGCGCTGAAAAGACCCTGGGCTCGGTCTACCCTCCTGGCCCTGTTTTCCCGCCCACCTTGTGCAGGCCCAACTTGAGGTCTTTCAGCACCCTGACCAGTGGGTCCCCTAGCGCTTCCGGAGGCCTAAAGACGTAGCGCGGTCAGGGCCAGGAGCTGGGTCCCCGGGAGCGGGGCAGGGGTGCGGGGGAGGATCGGGGGGAGAGGGGGTGGGCGGGGTGGAGACGACCCCTGCAGAGCGCAGCCCCTAGCCCTGGAGCTTGGGCAGTATGTGGATTGGTCCCACTCCCCCGCCCACACGGACTTCGGGCTGGGCGCTGTTTGCTCAGGGGGGGCGGGCCGGAGGAGGCGTATCTCTGCAAATGAGCGGGATCCGGGTGGCCCCCGCGGCCCCGGAGCAGTCAGTGCCCGGGACCTTGCCCTCGCCATGGCCGAGCGGCGCGGGGGCCTAGGGGCCCGCCTGGCTCGCCGCCTGGCCGGGCTAAGGGTCCGGAGGGAGCGCAAGGGGAAGCGGACCCCGGAGGAGGCCAGATCCCGGGATAGGTGAGGGGTTTGGAGGAGGGGCGCCCCGGGCGCCCCTGGGCCCGAGGGTGTGGATGTGTGTCTTGGAGTGTACAGTGGATGTTTGAGTAAGCTTGTCTGAGTGACTGGGAGCATTAAAATATACCGACCCGTGTACTATGATTTGGGGTATGTGGACTTTATAAAATCCCTGTACTTTTTAAAACCTTTACAACAATTTTGCAGTTTCCTAAGTCTGGCGGGTGGCCAGGGAACTCCTGATTTCCTCTCTGAAGATAATTGAAAGGCAAATACAGTGGCACCTCCTGCCGCTGTGGACTTTGATTCTCTCATCACAGGCCAGTTTAACTCTGGTCTTCATGTCACTTTGTCATGAGTATGACAGGCTCCTGAGTTGGCTTAGACTGCACTGTATTTGCCCTTTCATGACATGAAGAGGCTTTCCCCCATCTTCCTAGATTGTATTAACAATAAACTTATTTGCCACTTGCTTGATGCTTCTCCTGGATTATCTCATTTAATCCTCCCAGCAGCTGTACCAGGCAGGTATTTTGTGTGAGTCAGATACGGAAATGGAGGTTCAGAGACATGATGTCACCTCTCCAGTCACACAGCTCAGAACTGGTGGGGCTGGGACACAAACTTCTGTAATCTGACTGCAGGGCCCACAGCCTGAAGCCCTGGGCTGCTCTGTTGCCTTGAGAGATTTCAGAACTCAAGCAAGGGGGGCGGAGTTCCGTCCTAACCCTAGAGGCCACTGGCCACATGAGCTTGAACAAATTGCTACAGCTCTCTTAGCCAGTTCACCAGTAGCTGATGTGTGACAGGCAGAGAAAAGGCTGTATGGATTGCCAGGCTGAATGGCTGAGAGGGGGATAGAGAAGAGGACCCCAGGAGCTCACAGGCCCCATGTCTGCAAAGAACGTCAGGAGTGATCACAGGCACGAGTGTCTTCGCAGTTCTGATCTTATCATGACGTAGCTGTCTCCGGCCTGCCCTGGGAGGAGTGGAGGCCTGGTTGAGCCCAGGGTGAGGGAAGGGGTTTGTGCTGCTCTCACACCAAAGAGAGCAGGGACGGTAGGGTCTAGCCACCCTAAACCTGGAAGCCTGGGTGCCCGGGGGTGCCCACACCCTGCCAGCGCCCAGCCTGGAAGATACACCCCCTCCTTTTACCCCATCTGGCAGGAACTTGCCCTGTAGGCCCAGATGGCACTGTTCCTCCCTTTCTCTCTCCGCTTGAGAGGAGGCAGGGTTGTAGGTGAGTCAGGGAGAGGGAGGGCCGGGTAGGGACTGCGCATGCTCCTGGGGCCAGCCTGATGATACATTCCATGTGTGCACTTGGACTTGGTTCTCACTGGCCGTGGGAATGGGACTCTGGCTCAGAGGGACAGGCCCCTGATCCCTGCTGGTTGCCTGGAGTAGGGGGCAGAGTGCACGGAGCGGGCAGCCAAGGCCCTTCCTCTTCTTGCCCCTGTTAGGGGGTGATGCCCAGCCAGGCTTTGGAGTGAGACCATCCATCCTAATGTCTTAACTCCACTAGCTGTGTGACTTTACCACTCTGGACCTCAGTTTCCTTATCTGAAAAATGAGGACACTGCTATCTACCCTTTAGGATTATTGTGAGGCTTAAAGGGGATTATGGAGGTGTAATACCTAGTGCTAAACCTGGCATAGGGTGGGCCTCAGCAAATGGCAAGCTTTTGAATTACTAGGGTACTGTCCTTTTTCTGTATTCTGGTCCTGATATAGGCCTAGTCCCCATATTGTTCCAGGCCCATCCCTTTCTCTCTGTCCCTGGGGCTGGAGTGGACAGGTGGGGGTGGGGGCAGAAAGAAGGCTGTGCATAGACCTCCCCTGCCCCCCAAGACTTCAGGTGCTCATCCTCCCTGCGGGGGCCCTTAGAGACAAGGGCCATCAGGTCCAGTCTGGGGCAGGAGACAAGGAGCCTACTTCACTCCCTCCCCTGTGCTTCCTTCCCAGGCCCTGGGGTGGCCAGAGCTGCCCTGACCTGGCCCAGGGCCAGGGCAGCACCAGCAAAGTCAGCCTCAAGGTAGGAGAGAATCCTAGGGTTGGGGAGGGAAGGGGAGGGGAGCAGAAGCTCTTGGGATGGGCTGGGCTGGCCCTGAGAACCCTGACTTACAA